CCATTTCCCCTCAATATCATACATATCTATTACAAATCCCTTGACTCCACTTCCTTAAATGCTATTTTACTTATGTAGCCACCCACAACTAACTTTATTCACACGTCACTTTTGAGATTTTTTCTAATTGGCATGTGTAAGTCTAAGCCTTTAACTGCTGTTAAATTAATATACCAAATTTGTTTGTTTACTTTCCTGTTGGATGTTTAGGTTATTTCCAACTCTTTATTATTACAAACAGTGTTATAAGGCAGTGTCTCAAACTTTACTGTGCAAGTGAATCACCAGGAGAGCTTGTTAAAATGAATATTTTGATTCAGTGGCTTGGAATGGGCCCCAGATTCTGAATTTCTAACAATCTCCCAGGTGTTACCCAAGTTGCTGGTCCTTGTTCCACAAGAATGTCCTTGTCTTCTTGTCTGTCTTCTGTCCAGGGACAAGTTACTCTGAAACCTAGAAGTGCAATTTCCAAGAGGTAGGAGTCATTTATATTTTATCATCTTCAATTCTTCATCTGCAATTCCAAAATTAAAAATCTTGCAAAGTGGAAAGTATTTTTGGAAGCTTGGCACAACTTTATTTGGTGGCAAACCCTGACCCGAACTGGTGTGAGGCTATTAATGTCCTTTTCCTTATCCTCATAAATAGTCTTATGTTATACTGAATAGTACTAATCTGATAATGGGGTGCTGCCCTAGACCCCATTGATGGTATTACATATAGTATCTGTATTATATTAATTCTGAATTCTGAAACCCATCTGCCCCTAGGGATTTTGGATAAGGAATTGTGGCCCTGTATAGAAATTATTTTTATAGAGATCACCTTTTAAAAAATTATTATTTTTTTCTATTAGTTATTTTTTTCCACCATCTTATTATGAAAAATTTCAAACATACATAAAAGTTGAAAGAATGGTACAGAGAACACCAAGATACCCACCGTTAATATTGAACTACATTTGTTTTATCACCTGTTGATCCATCCATCCATCTCTCTTTATATCCATCAATCCATTTTATTTTTTTAAATGCATTACAAAATAAGTTGCAGATAAAACAAACCAAAGCAAACAAACAAACAAAAAGTTAAAGTATTGGCACAGATGAAGCTAAGAGCCTTTGACAGTTGTTTCCTGGTGTCCTTAACCCTTCCTCAGAGTAACCACTATTATAAGGATGGAGTATTTCCTTGTGTCCCATCTCTTATGCATTTACACCCTTGTGTCTATTTAGGGAAGGAAAGTACAGTGGTTACAAGAGCAAGATTGGTTTTTGGAGTCAGGCTGTGTTCAGTCTTAGCTGTCTCTCCCTTGCATCAAGATTCTGGCCAAAACAATCAGGTGTGAGCTTTCTAGTTCAATGCTCAGCCCCATACCTGGCAAACAACAGGTACTCAATAAATGTTATCCATTATGATTGGGATAATTGTACCCATATAAAATATATAGTATTCTTTCTTTTTTCTTTTACCTATAAGGTATCATTTTACCACTCTTTACTGCTTATCTTGAGTTACATATAGCAGTGTCTTTAGATCTACTTGGTCTTAGTTGCTACCTACATGGCTATTATTATCAAAGGACATTCAGTTTTTTTCCTAGTTTTTACTGTTAAAACAATGCTGCCAGAAACCACTGTTTTTCTAGGGTACATTCCCCAAAAGAAGTATTATTATGTCAGGCAATGTGTGCATTTAAATAAACTAAAGAATTAGTTTTTGAAAATAATACATACTGTACAAAGGATTCAAAATATGCAAAATCATAAAAGGTGAAAAGGAAGGTCTGTCCCCATACTCTGTCACCCAGGGCACCTTGTTCTTTCTCCCAGAGGCAGCAAATGCTCCTATCTCCTTTGAAATTCTTCTAGAGATATTCTCTGCATGCAAAAACACGAACATCTATAAGCTTAAAAAACAAAACAGGGGGCCGGCCGAGTGGCGCGTTGGTTAAAAGTTGGCTTGGGACACCCGCTCTAAGCAGCAGGACTCTGGTTCGGATCCCACATGAGGGCCAGTGACGCTGTGCCCTCTACAGCTAAGATGGTGACCAACAGCTCGACCTGGAGCTGGGCTGCCGTGAGTTGCCGGCGACGGCGTAGGCTGCAGTGGGGCTGGCCAGCAGCGGGTGTGAGCTTTAGTGAGCCTTTAGTGAGCGGCTGCCCAATGGCCAGTGAGCGACTGCCTCATCCGGGAAGAGCTCAGTGATAATACCAACATGGGCCAGTGAAGCGATGTCCTCCACAACTAGACAAAAGAACAAAAGGATTGTCTGTTCCCCTTTCCCGATTCCCCAACGCTGTTCCCCTCCCCCAATTCCCCCAATAAATAAATAAAAAACAAAACAAAACAAAAAAAACAAAAAAACCCAGGTGGTAGCGAGTATCTACATTTTAAATTTTAATAAAAACCACCAGATTGCATTCTAAAGTAGCCAGACCAATTTCCACCAGCAGGGCTCAAGAGCTGCTTCTCCACATCCTAGCCAAGATTTGTTATTCTGAAACGTAAAGGGTTTGCTCTTGTACAAGTAAAAGTTGATTCATCCACTGGCTTTGTGTCCATTTTAAATTTTGCCAACCATGGCTTCTACCTTTGTGTGTTACTTTTTAGTGGCCAATATTTCTAGTGAGTGCCTTCCCCTGAGTGCAAATGTGCAGGTTTAAGTTTGGCCAGGAAGATGTGATTGGTCTGTCGAAAACAGTCAACAAATTTATACTATGCATTTTTTTTTCTTTTTATTTTTTAGGTAAAATGTATTGTGCTATCAGTTAGTTATATTTTATTTGTTTTCTACTAAGTCAAACTTTCCTAGGTTAGTTTTTGCAGATTTAGCTGCAATTTTTTTTTTTAACCTATATTTAATTTACCCTGGGCAGTGTTAGCCTTTTTCAGTTTTATTTTGTGTTGCTTATTTTTTTCTGAGGTGGTCATTAAGAAAGGGATAAAATAAAAAAGACAGAAACAAAAGTGAGGGGAATAAACACCCCAGTGGGTTGCTTTTCTTTCTTACTCCAGAAGATAATGAGAATCCACTCTGCTGCTAAAGACAGATCTTTTATGATCTCTTTCCCTCATTGCTTTTCTTCAAATCCAGAAGTCAAAATGGCAAGTTGAATTGTCTTGTTACCCCTGGGGAGGTGTCCGGTAGGGTGAGGCTGGCGGTGGAAGGACGGAATTCCAGGGGAACAACAGAACCCCAGCTGGGACTTGTCTGTCTCCAGGCAGGCGGGGACCTTGGAAGATCCCCTGTATCTCTCACCTGGCATCTCTGGCTCTTACAGATGCGGCCTAAAGTCATGTGGCACCTCCTTCGCAGATACATGGCATCCCGACTCCATTCCCTGCGGCTGGGTGGCTTCCTGTTCTCAGGCTCCCAGGCCCCCCAGCTGTCCCCAGCCCTGATGAGGGCCCTGGGCCAGAAGTGCCCCAACCTGAAGCGCCTCTGCCTGCACGTGGCCGACCTGAGCATGGTGCCCATCTCCAGCCTGCCCTCCACCCTGAGGATCCTGGAGCTGCACAGTTGTGAGATTTCCATGGCCTGGCTCCTCAAGGGGCAGGACCCCACTGTGCTGCCCCAGCTTGAGTGCATCGTGCTAGACCGAGTCCCCGCCTTCCGGGATGAGCACCTGCAGGGCCTGACACGCTTCCGTGCCCTGCGCTCGCTGGTGCTGGGTGGCACCTACCGGGTGACTGAGACAGGCCTGGATGCGAGCCTGCAGGAGCTGACCTACCTGCAGAGGCTGGAGGTGCTGGGCTGCACCCTCTCAGCCGACAGCACCCTCCTGGCCGTCAGCCGCCACCTCCGAGACGTGCGGAAGATCCGACTGACTGTGAGGGGCCTTTCTGCCCCCGGCCTGTCAGTCCTAGAGGGAATGCCACTCCTGGAGAATCTGTGCCTGCTGGGCCCACTCATCACCCCAGAAATGCCTTCCCCGGCTGAAATCCTCTCTTCCTGCCTTACCATGCCCAAGCTCAGGGTCCTTGAGCTGCAGGGGCTGGGGTGGGAGGGTCAGGAGGCTGAGAGGATCCTGTGTAAGGGGCTGCCCCACTGTCTGGTCATCGTCAGGGCCTGCCCCAAAGAGTCCATGGACTGGTGGATGTGACTATACCACCTGTTCCTGAGACCCAGTTTAGTTTTCATTAATGAGCCCCTGGCCCTCTGAGCAGCACCTTGCAGGGGGCAGGTATTTAGGTAGAACTGAAGCCTTGGTGCCTCCAGACAATTGGAGTTGTTTGCCAGTTGTGTGGCCTCTTGGAGGCCTGGTCTCCACATCTGGAGATGGAGAAGACCACAGCTACCTCACGGTTATATTGCAAAGCCTTACACTTTATCAGCCCAAATCCCGAGAAGGTCCTTGATGAAGGGTCATTCTCAGGGCCATCCTCAGGAACAGGATGGATGCAGAAGGGTGTGGTTAGGAGTTAGAGGGACCTAAGGGGCCGGGGCCCCTTAGGAAGCCTGGAAGGACTGTCTACAGGGACACCCACACGCCTACACACCACTGATATGCCTCTGCATGGAGGAGATGCAGAAAGCACAGGTGTGACTCATCCTCATGATCAAAATGTTAATAAAGGTTCTAAATTGTATTTTCTGTATTTTCCAAGTTTTCCGCAATATTATTTTGCTATGAAAGAAAAAGACTCATTTTTTTTAAAAACAGCATTCAGTTTATTTAACAAACATTTTTAAGATCCCGCAATTTTGCGGGCACTGTCCTAGGCATTGGCCCACAAGCAGACAAGACCTGAAAAGAAGGCAGAGTGATACACAGGTGAGCACATCCATGGAACAGTTTCAGAAAACACACAATAAACCAGGCTCACATGATGGAGGTTCATATGTTTGGTAGAGGGGGCCTCTGAGCCGAGACCTAGGCGGTGACAAGGAATGAGTCCCAGAAGTGCTGGGGAAGACAGAAAAGGCAAAGAGGCTGAGGTGGGAATAAACTTGGCGTTTCCCAGGAACCAGAAGAGGTCCATATGGTCAAGGGAACAAGCTGTGAGCAGTAGGAAGTGAAGTCAGATGATGGGGTGAGGTTGAACAGGGCCTCGCGGTGGCTCAGGTTTTAGGGGCTCCTCTTCCTGCCTTTTGAGTCTGAACCACTTGAAAGATGCAGGTGGCAAACCGATAGTGATCATGGGTGCCTACCCACGAAATGAGCGTTACTTATGATCTGAACTGGGTAGGAGGGCACTGTGGGCTCACCACCTTCCCACCAGTCCAGTGTGCCTGCTCTGTGGTAGGCAGAGCCAGGAGAGGGGAAAGGGGACTGAGCTAGGTAACCTTGGTTCCTTACTCCAAGTGCACCCATCAGAGAGGACGCGGATGTTTCTCCCGTGCTAGTCCCACTGGATGGTGGAGTGGAAATTCCTTCCCCATCTGGGCACATGAGGACTGGGGTGTGAGTTCTCCCCCAGTGAGGCCATGGTTAGTGTCTTACCTGTCTCACGCTGACAAACCTGGCAGTGCAGCTCATTACCTGGGGGACTGGGTTGATCTAGGCGGGGGCATGAGGGTTGGAGAAGTGTCTGGGAGGGAAATGAGGTCAGTTTTGCTGGTGGAAGGTGTCCAGACGTCCGGGGTCCATCGTGGGGAGTATGCTGGAAGGGTCAACACCAGTCCTGTGCTGAGCCCCGCTGGTGGTCCTGGAAGTGGGCTGCAGATGCCCCACCTGGAGCAGCTCCAGGAGAAAAAGGCTTCCTTCTTTTCTTTTCCTCCCTGCCTTTCCAGTAGGAATGGAGCAGCAGTTGTGAAGTTAGAGGCAGTGGTACATGTGTAAATGTTTAACAGCCAGTGTTAGCAGGTGGTGGTGGGGAACTTTGAATTGTGTGCAGATGTCTGTGGTGTTAATACTGTTATGGCTGGTTTCAAGCTACCCACAGTTTAACAACTGGTTCACAAAATTCCTGAAAGTTTAGCAATTGATTCTCCTGAGCTGCCATGAGCTGGCTGTAGCACAGCACTGGTTAGAGGTATCTTTCTTCTAGAGGACTCACTCTGCCTTAGTGATCCTTTCCCTGGCTTAGCTCTGAGGGGTGGTGGGATTATAGGACATCAGATAGAGCTCCTCCCCTCTTGGGATCCCCCTACCCTAACCATCGCCGCCTCCCAGATAACAGGCTGGAGGCTTAAGGATACCTACCCTCCATTTAAAGGTGTACCTGGGATTTGTTTTAATCACAGGATGACAGACAGGAAGTCAAGGATTTTAACATTATAAATATTAAGATGGCAGACAGGGAGACAACTGACTTTGACAGTTTATTACAATTCCCAAGAGAAGGGGATATGCCGTGCCATGAAGGGCCACACCGGGGAGCACCAGAATTGGTCAGAAGGATTTTTGCAGGTAGGAATGGGCAAAGCAGGGTAGGCAAGCCAAGCAAGTTTAGGATTTGCTAGTTTAAATAATTTTAGTAGGTTCTAGGTTCTAGGGGTGGTCCCTAGTTGTTTATTAACTGGTCCTGGGGTGATTTAGGGCAGAAAGAATGTTGGTTTAGTGTGGGAGACAGATAAAAGAGGTTGTTGAATCAATTGGTTTGCATTTGAAAGGTGAGCTCAAACACAAGTTGTTTACCGTCTCTAGGAATTATCTAACATGGCCCTAAGATGTCAAAACATCATAAAATTTAGGAAATAAATACCTAATTAATCCTCCAATAAAGGTTAAGGACAATCACCATAGCTGACATTTATTGAGTGTTTATTTTGTGTCAGGCATGGTACTCAATCTTCTTTTTTTTTTAATTTTTATTGGAGAATTGGGGGATGGGAACAGCACTGGGGAATTGGGGGAAGGGGAACAGACAAATTGCCGTCCCTTTGCTCTTCAGTCTAGTTGTGGAGGACGTTGCTTCACTGGCCCAAGTTGGCACCATCATTGCGCTTTTCCCTGGTGAGGCAGATCAGTCGCCGGCTTCTGGACGGCCGCTCACTGCGGCTGCTGGCTACTCACGCTGGCTGCTGGCTACACACAGTAGCCCATGGCAACCCACTGCAGCAGGGGCTGCAGCCTCCACCGTCGCTAGTGACTCATGGCAGCCCAGCTCCAGGTTGAGCTGTTGTTCAGCATCTTAGCTGTAGAGGGCAGTGTCACTGGCCCTCATATGTGGGATCCGAACCAGGGTCCTCTGGCGTCCTAAGCCAGCTCTGAACCAACGCACCACTGGGCTGGCCTGTACTCAGTCTTTCATCATGGGCTCCTACCAGCAGCACAATGAGGAAGGTACAGAGGAGGAAACTGAGGCACAGAGAAGTTAAGTTGCCCAGAGTCACATAGCTATTAAAATAGCAGAGCTTAAGTAATCGTATTCCACAATCTTAACCATTTATGTGAAGTTGCCTCATTGACATGTAATAGTGTCTGAAAGGATGGTCTAGTATCTGTGCCCCATTAGGAAAAAAAATTTTTTAAGCTTTATTGAGGTATAATTAGTGTATAATAAACTGCAGATATTTAAATGACTTGATAATTTTTGACATATATATACACTCATGAAACCATCATTGCAATCATGATAACAAACATTTCTGTCTTCCCTAAAAGTTTCCTTGTGGCCCCCAGTAACCCTACCTTCCTCTGCTCCTGTCCTCAGGCAGCTGCTAAACTGCTTTCTGTCACTATAGATTATTTTGTTTTTCCTAGCATTTTATGTAAGTGAATCATAGAGTATATACTTTTTGTGGGTGGGGGCAGGAATCTTGTTTCTTTCACTCGGCATAATGATTTTGAAACTCATCCAAGTCACTGTACAGTATCCCCCCTTGTCTGCAGTTTCACTTTCCACAGTTTCAGTTAACTGCAGTCAACCATGGTCTGAAAATAGTCAGTTTCCCCAACCACCAACATCGTCATGGCTCGATGATCCAGGATCACCCGAAGCAGATGGTCCTCCTTTTGATTTATTGTCAGAATGTCACAAACACTACATTACCATGTGTATGTCATTCACCTCACTTCATCGCATCCTATGGGCACTGTCGGCTCACATCGTCACAGAAAAGGGTGAGTTCAGTACAATAAGAGAGAAATACCACATTCACATAACTTTTGCGACAGTATATTGTTATAATTGTTCCATTTTATTATTAATTATTGTTAACCTCTTACTGTACCTAATTTACAACTTAAACTTTATCAGGGGTATATATGTATAGGAAAAAATATAGTATATATAGGGTCCGGTACTATATAAACTATATTCAGGCATCCACTGGGGGTCTTGGAACTAATCCCCTGTGGATAAGGGGAGACTGCCATATTTCGTCATATGGCTATAGCACAATTTGTTATCCATTCACCGATGATGAATATTTGTGTTTAAACATATATATACTTTTGTGTTCAAAATAATTTTTCCTGATCTGGAAAATAATACATGCTTGTAAAGAATTTTAGCATTACAGAAAGTAAAACTCTTTCTAATTTCAGGCCCCAGAAGGAATCATTGTGAAACGTTTGGTGTATAATCTTCTAGAACTTTCTTGATCTACTATTGGGACTTTGGAGAAAATCAAAGGGATCTCTTAATTTCCCTGATGAGTTTGAAACCAGTCAAATCAGCTTCATGACTGATAAAAGCAGGATTGGAGCATGTGACTTCACTATGAGGCTCCAGTGGTCTTTCTGATTATTTCACCCCTGAATTTGCCAGATCTACTCATGCATGGCACAGCTGGTCAACCACAGGCTCCTCCGGATGATCACTGCCATGCCCCAGTCTGATCAAAATACCCTCTCTGGGGTCCAGCAGACTCCCAAAGAGAGAGATAAACGGCGTGAACAAAAGGAGCTCAGTTCCTTTTTCCAAACCCACTAGTTAGATAAATTATGTGGGTAAGTATGTGCAAAGAGGTCAGGACTGTCGCTTCAGCTGAAATCAAACCTACTCGACACAGAAAGCGAGAGGAATGGAACTTCCTCCCTAACTCAAACTAAAAAAGACTGCATACCTGTTTTGTGTGGGTTTCAGACGACTGAGAGTGGTGCTGGCAGCTAGGACTACCTAGGGCACTCACCTGGGCCCCTCCGACTTGTGGTGAGGCCCACAGACGTTTCCCTGACCAAGGCCAATGTGGCTCCTCCAGCCCTTGCAGTTCTTGTGCAATAACCAGCAGGGAACTTCAAAAAGACAGTTTATGACTCACAGGTCCTGGAGGGTACAAAGTATACCGCGGGCCACACAGCAAGGTCACAGGAAGAGAGAAAACCTGGGGTTCTGCCTTTATTGGGGTTGATGGTGGGGGCCTCGGGTTTCGTGGGTTCACTCTTTATTGATGAATGTAAAACCTAAAAGCAGGAATTAAGGCCTGAGAAGGGAAAAGCAAGGTCACTCAAGCGGCAGTTATCTAGATTATCCAGGACTTTCTAAAAGGGAAACAATGGGTGGGTGGCCTGGTTTCTATCTGGTTGTTTAGCTAGGAACTGTCATGAAGTTGGCAATGTTTATTCGAGATAGATGTCTGTGAAATGAATGCCTCAGCAATCAAAAGCTTAATGTCAGGCATGTACGCTGTACCTCCTTACACACAAAGACATTCCCTGAGCTTTGCTAATTCCTCCCTGCAAAAGAAAAGTTTTTCTGCCTACCTTTTAGATGCTTGCAGAATTCCCCCCCACCCCCCACGGTCATTGGTTACACATGGCTTTCATGCTACAATGGCATACTTGACTCTTTTAGGGAGGGCACAGCTCACAGTGACCCAAGTGGGGATCGAACCGGCAACTTTGGTGTTATCAGCACCACGCTCTAACCAACTGAGCTAACTGGCCACCCCAATGCTTGCAGAATCTTATGGTCAGAATGTTCTCCTTATTGCAATAGGCCTTTTCTTCTCTTGCAATAATCTTTTTGAATGAAGTCTCTATTTACTGATGTGCAAAATTACTTTTATTTGACAGTGGAAAACAAACAGACAAAAAAATCCTTGGAGTCATTCTTGATTCCTCACCCCCAAACTACACATCAAGTCCATCAGCAGATACCCATTGGCTCTGCCTTAATACCCAAGTTCCACTCCTTCCATCCACACCTGACACCCTCGTCCAGCTATTTCCATTTTTCTAAGTGTTCTCCCCGAGTCTATCTTTGCCTCCCTAGAGTCATACAAAAGACAAAGAGATCTTTTAAATATATACATCAGATAATGTCGCTCCTGTGGCTCAAACACTTCAAGGGCTTCCCATTGTACTCAGAGTCAAACCCAAAATTCTTACAGTTGCCCAGGTGACCATGTATAATCTGACTCTGACTTCATTTTCTTCTAGTCTCCATCCTGCCCAATTCACTTCAAACTATTCAGACACTGGATTTCTGCTGTTGGTTAAAGAGGCCAAACACTCTCCTGCATCAGGGCCTTTGCACTTGGTGTTCACTCTTTACTCAGAAATCCAGACATCCTTCAAATTTCTTCAGCCTCATTGCTGAGGCTGAAGTGTGAGAAATTCTGTGTCCAGATGACTCTGGGCCTTAGTTCTCTCATCTGTCAAAGTGTCACTCCTCACCTGCCATCTCACCACACCCCCGCCATGTCTCCTCCCAGCCCAAGCACTAGGCAGATGTTATAACCCAAAGGTATAGTGGGACAGGAAAACCTTTTTTTTTTTTTATTTTATAGGAATTTTCTAATAGGGACAGTCGGTTTTATGATTGGTTTCAAGAACAGCGGCTTGACAGACTAATACCTGTGATCCCCAGCAGATGGCAGCATGTCACTGGATTTGCTGTAAATTATTATATCCTCATAACACTGGAATTGAGAAATTCCCAAAATTTCTATACATCTTTACCTTTCATAAGAAGAAAAGTGAAAAGAACATATATTTGTTGGGCACCTGTTCTATCAGCTGGATGCTCTGATTTACATTTGTGATTTAAGTCAGGGCATGCATGTCCCTCATCTCTCAGAACTCCCGAATAATAAATTTTGGGAAATGAAATAAAAAATTAAGTGTATATATATACTGGGGGTGCCAAAAAAATGTATGCAACTGGACACTTCGGTCCACGTTGCTCAAGCAGTAGTTCGCCGTAATCAGAAGTGTCTGGATGGTGATGGTAACCACTTTGAGCACCTCTTGTAATTCCCAAAATCAAACGTGACTTGTATTCATCTTTTGTTATCGGTATATATTGAGTATTACAATTTTAATAGTTTTCCTTTCCTAAAATATGTGTACATTTTTTTGACACTCTCTGTATATATAGTGTCTAGGAGTTAACCTAACAAAAATACAACCCACTGAAGAAGAAAATTAAAATTTGCCTTCAAGGGCCTAAAGAAGGAATGGGATGAACTGGAGATGTGATCCATTTTGTGGACTGGCAGATATCTTTGTAAGCCTGGTGTTCTTTTGTATAGGGTCTCCTAACTATAGAGAAAAAAAGAGCAAACATAGCTTTCATTGGGCATCCTAAGGGCAAGCCAACTAGAAGCCGGACCCTGCCTAAGCCCCGCCCTCACACCTGGCCTCCAGCTCCACCCTCTGACCTTGGAGCCCGCTTTAGACCCGCCCACCGAGTCTGGCAGCTATTAATACTTTCTCGAGTGGGTGTACAATCCAGGCCACGCCCTCCAGGCACTGTTCCTGTCCTTATCCTATTCGCCCCAGACTGGGCAGATTTCAAGACACAGCCGACTCCTTTAGTTTCTCCAGGCTCCTCCCTTTCCCCCTCTGTGCCTCGCCCAAACTCTGGGCACCTCTCTGCCTGCTCACAAAACTGGAAGTGGAAGCGTACATCTGCTGGATGGCAGTCAAGGTTGGTATCACCTCAGTAGGCATCCTTCCACCGCCCAGCTCAGGTATACACAATAATATGCATCAATCTCACAATGTTGCATGAAAGAAACTAAATTTAAAAAAACCCTATATGATTCCATTTTTGTAACTCAAAAAAGGCAAAATTAAGTTGTGGTATTAGGAATGAATATTTAGGTAGTAAAAGTATAAACAAAGACAAGGAAGTAATTACATAAAAGTCAGGATTTGCTCCTTTTTAGGTGGGGAGCCAGGCTTGTGAATGAGACGGGACACTTGAGATTTCTAAGGTAGTGGAAAAGTATTCATGTTACTGTAAATTTGTTGTCTTTTTTTGTGTTCTATTTATTTTTCACAAAGGCTTTAAAAAGAAATGATTGAATGAATCTCCATAGAATAAAATTTGGAAACGTACTAGAAATATTCCAGTGTGGCACTGATATATGTCATGTTTTCTTGTAGATTTGTTCTACCATCTGTCTTCCTCCTCAACTGAAATAAAAGTTCTGTTCTGAAGGCAAGACTCAAATATTTGTTGAATGAATGAATGAAAGAAAAAATATTACTAGGGGAAATGGTAGTAACCACATAAAAGCATTTTTTGAGCCTCTCGCTTTCCGGCGGGTCAGGTGTAGTCGCGAGGCCCCGCCCAATCGACCCCGAACCGTTCTGGTTACGCTCCCCAGCCGTCTTCCCGCCTGGCTCTCCCTCCAAGGTCCCTAGTGGAGCCTGTTGGCCGGGGGCGTAAACGCTTGCCCGCGGAAGACCTCTAGGACTTCTCGGCCTGGAGGACGCAGCTGGCACCTCTCCCGCCACCTCAGGCGCTCTCAAGGCCTGTCCCGGAGCCTTTCACCGTTTCACACCCCCAGTCCGGAAGTGGAGGGCGCAGGGCCAGAGCAGCCACCCGCTTCCCTGCAACGGTGCCACCGGTTTCCTCTTTATCGGCCTCTGGCTGGGAGAAGCAGCTCGAGGTGCGGCTCCGCTTCTCGGGAGCAGGAGGCCTCGGAGAGGGCGGAGAGACTAGACTCCGGGAGGCGGGGTCTCGGGCGGGGCGGGGCGCCGCTGGGCTAGGGGAGGAGCTGGCGTTGACCCACCCTAGTGGGTCTTGGGGTCCTTCTGTCCTCGTGACCTGAGGATCGCGTCAGTTTTCAGCGGGAAGAGGCACCGGTTTACCGGTCCGGTGGCTTTTGCTTTGGTGAGCCTTGTTGGGGTGAGGAGATCGTTGAACTTTTCAGTTATTTATGCTTGACAATTTTGTTTGGGAAAATACTTTCTCAGGATTCTAGGGTGAGTGTAAATAAGTGTAATAAAGAAAATAAAATGAAATAGAATAAAAATAAGTGAAAATAAAAAAACAGGCCTTACAATTAAAGTAAGATTATTCAGCAGTGTACAGTCCCACGGCAGCTCCACCTCTCCTCCATGGGCTATGATCCCAGCAGTTTTAAATCAGGAATTACCTAATACTGATATTATTAAAATGGATGTTGGTGGTATAGACTTGTAGCTAAAGCCTATTAGAAATCTAAGGTATAAGTGAAATACATGAAATTGTATGTATTAAAACATAGGTGTTACAGGTCCAAAGTCCGTGTGACCTACACTTCAAAAGGCCAAAACTCAAAACTTAAGAGTTCAGAGTAAGGAAAGATTTATCGATGGAGAAAGCGCCAACGGAAAAGATGGGAGACTTAATCTTCAAATCCACCTTAAGCAAGTACAGAATTCAGGCTTCTTTTATGCCACGGAAGGGGAAATGGTAGGTGCTGTTTTGTAAAAACGAGCCACAGACAGAATTCCTCTAATTATTAGCATGTCTAAAGCAGGAGCTCTTAGCCGGAAGGCCATGGGAACATCCAGGGCTTGAATAAGATGGAGCAGGAGAGACCCAGCATTTCACTCTGTTACAAAAGGAATTCTAGGAAAAGGGAGGAAGCAGCTTTCCTAATATTAGCTTGTCAACGAAAAAACAGCCAGCCTAAGAGAAAGCTTATAAGAGTTTATTTGAGCCAAACTGATGACAGTTGCTGGGAAACAAAGTCTCAACAGATTGAGAAAATGCGCCACCAAATGGCCATTTTGTAACTTGTTTTATACATTAAAATCAAAGGAGCAGGGTTACATGAAATCCATTTGTTGTAGAATAAGGGGGTGGGAGAAAAAGCAGGGAAATCTCTGGGATTGGATAAAATGTAAAATAGAGAAACATACACTTCTTTTACATTGGTGGGTACAGGACAGTTAATAGCATTTTACAGCACATAGCGATAATATTTGGGGAACATGATAACAATGAGGGATTTTGTAGTTTCCTGCTCTGGTATGAGGGGTTGTGCCCCCTGGGGGGGGGTCTGGAAAAAGAGGTTACTCTGATATTGCAAGGGTATGTTATCTGAGATGCAAAAACAGATAGGCTCACTTAAGGTAAAGATTGACCTTTGTCAAGGAAGCTACAGGCCAAGGATGTGACATCCCGCCATGGCCCACCTTAGTTAGGAATTTTTATGTTCACACCATCCTCTGTGGTTATTTTCAGTCTCCTGAGCTTGTCAGGTTTAATATGTGGTCCCTTTTCCGTCCACAAGCAGAAACTCTACTATACTAACCTTAAAAGAGATGTATTTTGACCAAGTAGGTTTTTTTTCAGTGAGGTTAAAAGCTCAGGAAGTGGCATTGAGAGGATTGGGTCACTGTTTCATTTGTTCAGTCATTTACTTACTAAAGGATAAAAAGCACTTAGTGAATGCTTGTGCTTAGGGGTCCAAGCACTAAACATACGTAAATAAAATACACAGTACTTTTCTCATAATTTCAAGAATTACAAGTTCTCATCATTACAAGTGAGATAGAAAAAAACAGAAGGGGTGGGGAGGGCTCTGAGGGAGTGACATTTGAATGTGAGACCTGAAAGACAGAAGAGGAGGGGTCTTCTCTGAGAGGAAGGGAAAAGAGGATGGAGGGGGTGAGTGCTCAGATCCTCACCGCCAGATCCTTTGAACAATTCTTTGATTAGATCTATGACAGAGCATCAGATCACCCTGTGAGGTTACTTTATGTAGCACGCTTTTTTTGTCCAGTGCTTGATAATTTAATTTTTCTCAGTTACACAAGTAATACATGGATATGTTTTTTGTTGTTGTTGTTAACATTCCAATAATTAGGAAAATTATAAAGTAAAAATGTCAGTTTCACTTCACATTACCCTGCAAATACACATAAAACACAGTCTTGTTTTTCTCCAGAGGCCTCCAGTGTTACCAATGGCAGTGTGGCCTTGCAGTCATTTGTTTTTCTATTGTGGCAAAATACACATAGCATAAAATGCACTTTTTAACCTTTTCTGAGGGTACTTTTCAGTAATATTAAGCACAGTCACATTGCTGTGTAACCATCACCTCCAGAAGTTTTTCATCTTCCTAAACTGAAACTGTCCCCATTCAACCCTAAGTCCCAGCCTCTGGTAACCTCTAGAATCTATACATGGCCTGTCTCTCATGTCTCCCCTCTTGTCTTCTAAAGACCGCCTTACTCCAGGAGGGGAACGTTGAGGCAGAAGCTATGGCTCCAGGGTTGCTGACAACCTGGTCACAGGTAATTGGAAACCCCCCTTTTTCCAATATGACATCTCCCTTCTACGAGTGTGGATGTGTCTCCTTCCTCCAGTGGCCTGGGGCCTCACAACCTGACCAGAGATACGTCCTGGTCTTGTCCCTATGCTTCCTCAGGACCCTTAGCTTCTAATGGTGGCCTAGGGACTTCCCAGAGAATGCTCTCATTGCTTCATATGTATGAATTTTTTTTTCAGTGCCTTGTCCATATTAGCTCAATAGTCACCTCAGAACTGTGGCAAAAACAAAACACAAAGGCTGTGAGATGACTTTGTGTTAAGAATTCATGGGGACATAACTCATTCATTTACAAAATATTCCTCCCAGTCTGCCTGCCATGATGAGCTCAGGGCTGTGTGGTGCCTGACCCAAGGGGACTCAGCTGGGATAGGTTCACAGACTAGTTGTAGAGAGAAAAGTTTGGTCAGGTGTTGAAGAGGTAATAAATTGATGAAGCTGGATGAGATTGCTGAGGGCATGCAAGTGGAAAGAGATAGAGGTGAGGGCTCCCTTCTGAACTTCCTGTGCCTTGGTCCTCTGGTGCCATTCTCCTTACGCACCACCCTTCTGAGACACTGACGGAGATGGGCCATGGCTGAGCCCAAATGCGTGTGGTGTTTCAGGACTTGGTGACTTTCAAGGAAGTACTGGTGGACTTCTCCCAGGAGGATGGGCACTGCTGGACCCTGCTCAGAAAATCCTGTACAGGGATGATGTGATGATGGAGAACTAAAGGAACTTGGCTTCCGTGGGTAAGGCCAACCTCATCTCTTCGCTGGTGGATTTATGCTGCAAATATTTCTTCAGCACCTGCTATATTCCAGGAATCATTCTTGGTCTTGGGAAGAGAATGGCGATGAAGGAAATATGGCCCATGCTTTGAGGTGTGAGCAGGCACACTTTTCCTTAAATGGCTAGAGAAGAAATATTTTCAGCTTAGAGGGCCATAGGGTCTCTGTTTCAACTACTCAACGCTGCTAGTGTAATGCCAAAGCAGCCATAGATGGTACATATGGAAATAGACAGGGCTATGTTCCAGTTAAACTTTATTTATGAAAGTAGGTGGCTAACCTTTAGGCAGTAGTCGCCAACCCCTAGTCTAGCATCTTCCCCTTGAGAATGAAGATTTCTCTATTACACTGACTTTATTTTCTTCATGATTAGAAGCTTGGTGCTCTAGAGGTGTGTCTCTGCTCTTGGGTCTGAGGATCCCTGATCCCTGTAGGGCATGACATGAGGTAGTTTGAGTTTTGGATCCTGGGCACCATCACGTCACTGCTCATGGGGTCACACATGCCCGTCTCCTGAAAGTGTTGGCCTCACTCTCGGGGAAGTTCCCATTTCATCCCTGCACATCCCCCCCCCCATCTCCTGTCTTTCCCCGTAGACAGGGTATCATCTCTGTAAACCCAGTATGTTTACCCAGGTGGAGCAGAAGGAGCTGAGGAATAAGGAGAGGAGAATTCTCCAAGACACCTGTGAAAGAAGTCCCTTTAGGGAATTTCTAAAATGTTATTTTGTCGGAGAGATCATCTCAGCCCACTTTGAGTAAGTTTCCTCTCGAAGCTTCAGCTCTCCTTCCTCTCCTCTTCCCTTTTCTCTCCCACTTTCTTTTGCTCTCAGTGAAAGCTCTATCCTGCTTGCTGTTTCCAGAACATTTTCACTTTTGTAAATAAAGTTTTATTGGAACATGGCCTTGCCTACGTGTTTGTCCGTTTTCCCACTCTCCCCAAACTCTGCTTGCCTAATAATGCCCTATATCAGACTACTAGTCCCCACCTCATTTTTTACAAAATCATTTCTTAGCAAGTCACCTGCCATTTCCACCCATCATTCCTGTCATTATCAAGTCCTTCACGTTGCTGAAGTCCTTGAAGTCTGTCTTTAACTGCTGGTCTATTCTTCCCTGTCACATTGACTTTTCATATTTAGGATCAGTATCCGAAAAAAATCTATGTGGGCCTAGTGTTGTGTTTTTAATCACCTTTACTTTATCATTTATTTTTCCAAGAACTTAAATGTTTTTTTCCCCCTTTAATTCATTTCAGATTAGAAGTCTCAACTTCAACTTAAAATCAAAGAGACCGCTGCTAAATAGAATAAAGTTTGGGAAAAACCATCTACTGGTAGGAAAAGGGTGAGGCTTTCCAGGGCTCATTGCTGGTTGTCTGCAGTGGAAGTCTGGGATTGCCTTGAAGCAGAAGAACAGCACAGCCACAAGGGGAGACACTTGGGGCCAGTGACCTTCACCCAAGAGAAGTCATGTCTCAGGAGACAGTTTCTGAGTATTATTATCATGAGTTTGGGGTACATTCTAAACCAATTTCAAAATTTATTTATCCATGGAGAGTTCCCACAGATAGACATATCCACAAGTACTACTCAGAAAGTGAAGATTGACATGTAATTCAGTTTTTGTTTAAGCAATTATCAGAAAAAAATCTGTACCTAATAAGCTTTATGAATGTCATGACTGTGATAGAACTTGCAGCAGAGCATTCACTTTACTCAATTTGAAAGTTGGATGGGGTGGGGTCTCAGGGAATCATCAGGGGTGTGGTGAAGAGTGTTAACCAGGTTGATGCAGACTCCCGATATGACGCCCACCTGCATCTGCACCCTGGGAGTGGGGAGAGCTCAATAATAGAAGCTCCTCCATCCAGGAGGAATATGCCCCTCCAGCCCTCACCTTGAAGCCAGATGATTTAGTTCCTTCTTGTATGCCCCTGGTGCCTTTAGAGCTGCTGCCCCATCACGGGAGCTCAGAGTGAGTGAGTCCATCAGCGGCTAAGTCCATGTGTGGACCCTTTAAGAGAAGCAACTGCCCTCCTCTCACTTAGCCACAATCTCCGCTGGTTTTCAAAGCCAGAAGTTATAAGGACTTCTCTTCCTGGTACTGGTACCCTGGGCTGGGGACCCTAGTGTGGGGCTAGGACCCCTTGGTCTTCAGGGGAGGAACCTCTGCAGCCAAGGTATCCCTCCTGAATTTTGATGGTTACATGTGGGTGTGGGACCATCCCATCCCACATCTCTGCCCCTCATGCCAGTCTTGAGGTGGCTACTTCTCTATGTCCATGGTTGTAGGGCTTTGGTTCAACTGGAATTTATGCTATTTTCAATGATGGTTGTTTGAATGAGACCAGCTTGTCCCAGTGGCCACCTGGCTCGTCAGCCAGGCACCTAGGGGGGTCCCTGAAAGGATTGGATGGGAGACGAGAAATAAAGAGAAGAGAGACAAAAGCTGGGAGCAGGAGGGCCTCAGCCTGCTGGTAACAGACTAAGAACCATGTTTATTGGAAATACAAGGTTTTTAAGGGGAAGCGATTTCCTCATTCTAGGGAGCAATTCTCTAAAGCTAAAACTCATGGGCTGAGGAGAAACACTTTCTCAGCAACAAGCTATGTTATACTCAATATAAACCAATGATATAGCTAGGCAAGGTTAAACTGAGGCAAATAGAAACTGTCAACTAGTCCACAGTAGAAAGCCCCAAGCATGTGAAGCAGGTCCAGGGTGGAAAGTCCCAGAGTGGTGATGCATATCAAAACTGCAAGTCCATAGTCCATGAGCAACTGAGTCGCTTTGTCCATAAGCTTTTTCTATCAGCAAGCTGGGGTCTTTACTCTTTGCACTTGCGTTATGTGGAAGCAGTTTAAGGCAGAAGCACTGTCCCACAGGTCCCCACCAAACTGCTCCAAGGCTGCTCACCTCAGGCCTGTATCTACCTGGAGATCCAAGCTTGCCAACCTAAAGCCTCAGTGTCCCTGGCTGATCCCAGCCAGCTCCCAACAGTTGTTCTTTTGTTTAGTTGTAATTTTTATATGGTCATGAGAAGAGATAAGCAAGTGTTTACCTACTCTGCCATCTTGCTCTGAAATTCAGGAGTTCAATTGTTGATGAACCCTTTTTGGAGTGGATGAATGTTCTAAGGAGTGTGATACTCTAATTCATTTACTTGGATTCAGGTTGGGTATTTATTTAGATTGGCAATGCCATCTTCTCTTTCAGAGTCTTTCTTCTTTTACTTAGTAGTTTCAATGCTGCATTTTCTAATTTGGTTCATTTCCTTGTGTTCTTTAAAAGTCCTTTTGGACTTTTTGGGAAACATTGAATGATTTTCTTTCATATGCTTTGGCTACTTCAAACTAAATCAGTATGTATGTGTCTGGAGAAGGACTAGAGGTGTATGTATTTTGCTGGTTCTCATAGGTAATTCTCTTTGTGTGTGCTATTTAGCTTGTAGCAAACTTGCTACACTTTTATTCTAATAACTGATGTGTCGATATCTGGTGTTTTTCTATAGATAATGGTATCTACAAATACAGGAAAAAAAGAAAAATGTTTTCCTTTTTAATCCTTATATTTTTCTTATGCTTTTGTTCCCTAACGGTCCATCTGGGGCTTGAACTATATCAACTAGAAGTGGTGTCAGGCACTCTTGTCTTCTTCCTGATCTTGAGGGGCATTCTTTTCATATTTCACCTTTCGGTTTGGTATCTGCTGTAACATTTTTGTAGATAACTTTATCAGGTAAAGAAAGTTCTCTTCTTTGCCTAGAGTGTCAGTGTTCTTTCTCAATGAATATATGGTGAATTTTATCAAATATTTGTTCTGCATCTCCTGAGATGATATTTGTTCACTGATGTATTTCAAAACTTCTAGAACAATGTTAGAACCCATGGTAGGAACTCAATAAGTATTGCTTTTCCATTGTGAAATTAGCCTTGCATTCCTGGATAACTTGGCCATCACATAGCTATTACACATTATCATTCCTAGTTTGCTAATATAATAGGAGTTTTGCATCTTTGAGTGAGACTGGCCTGCAATTTTCCCTTCAATGCTGTACTTTTTTGTTGTTGTTGTTTGAAGAATGTGCTGGCTTCATAAAAATTAGTTGGGGCAATTCTCCCAAATCCCATGACTTCACCTGGATTCACCAGCTATCAATATTTTTGATAGTTTTCTATCTTTGTTTGCTTGTGTATAGTTTTCTTTTATGGATGAGGCATTACAGACATGTGACATCTCTAGCATTTATCTTACTTTCTTTAGTATTTAGCACCTTTCTTTAGCATTTATCCCAAGAACAAAGATGTTGTCAGGAACTGGAAGATCTGAGATTTTACCCTAATTATAAGCTAACAAGTTAGCCTGCCAGAGTTTCATGGATGTTGGCCACAGATACCAGACTTCTGGGTCAGAGATCAGGGACTTTATTACTGCACAGCAGGAAGCATAAGCTTCATGTTCCTGTCAGTTTTCCTCGACTACCAAGTCCCACAGGGGTGACATGAAACAACTCAGATGACTGCTGTGCATACAGTGGGTTTGTGTCATAACTGAGGAACCTCAAGCTTTTCTAAGGAACTGCAAACAAACCTGTCCAGTCTTTGCTCCAGAGGGGGATATTATTACACTAACTTCTGCTGTGAAAATGTTTGCTGTAAAACCATCCTTGAAGACATAGTCTGGAACAGAATAAGACAGGTAGAAATGTGAGCTACCTATGGAGGATTGTCTCCTGGCAGAAGTTTTCTTCTATAATCAAAATATGGTTAATACATTCATGAAATTTAGCATTCATGAATGTTACCAGCACACAACTGATATTCAAATGTCTCCCATCACACAAACATCCTTTTTTGAGGGTTGGAAATATAATTTAATTTTTAAAAATTATTTTTAAAAAATGTCAAGTGAGAAGCCCTGGGAAAATAGACACTTAAATTTGCCAAAATGTGAGTGTCTTCTGGTAAAAGTCACTTAATTTAACTTAAAAGAATCAGGGCAGGAACTGTATACCTGCACAGAAAAGAGTCATATTTTTTCACAGAAAAAGGTGTGAAGGCCTTCACAAGCACTCATCCTTGTAGGACGCACGGGAGGACACACTGGAGGCAATGCGAGTATAGTGAATATGAAAGGCCTCCAGGTGTGGTTCTTTACTTACTGTTCACAAGAGGACTCACTCTGAGAGGCCATGTTAATCTTGCGAATATGGGTTTGCCCGTGTCCTGCATCCTAAGGTGGACCTCTAGCTCATTACTTTCTGTGTTTGCTTTCACAGTATAAATCCTCAAGGCCACACAGATCCCTCTAAGAGTTCTCTAAGTCACTGAACAAGTTGTGATAGGTAATATTTTTATTTATGATGGCTCAGTTCTAAATATTGTCTCATTTCCATTTTGAAGTCTTCTTGGATTCATGGGTTATTCAGGAATGTGTTTCCAAGATGCAATGCCAGGGGTACTTCTCTGCCTTGTGTTTCATTTTCAGTCTTGATGCTTTGTGGTCAGAGTTGGTGATCTTTAGGATATGAATTCTTTGGCATTGGTAGGTACTTTCTCTTTGGCCCAGTGTGGCAGACACTGCTGGCTGCCTCTGTATCCATTCTCCTTTTTATTACTCTCAGACCCTGGATTTTGCTCACCTTGTTAATGTTTACTGTTAAAAAAAAAATCCTGCTGTCTCTCTCCCTTCATCTTTCTTGAAGGAATGGTCATGTCCCAAGCCTTGGCCCATGATAGGTAGGCAGAGTTGCTGGTGTGGCTGCTGTGAAAGCTCTTGAAAAAAGGACAGGCCCTAGGCTTGTTACCTTCATTTTGTTATCTTGGCCCTTCCTCATCCTTTCTGCCTGGATATTGGATACAAGGTCTCGAGTTGGAAAAATTTTATTTTGTGACCATTAATTAGGTGGCAGCCTTGGGCAAAGATGGTGCAGCCAGAACACAAGGCTCTTTGCTCCTGAGGGTTTCTTTGAGTGCCTGCACCAGCCCTGAACTGCTTACTTTTGCATTCATGTTACATGAGAAAATGAAATATTCTTTTAAAAAATCCTCTTTTTTGGGGGGGGGGCGGGAATCATTGCGTAAATTATATAAATGTCTAACTGCTATGTTGTACACCAGAAACGAATATAAAATAATATTGGGTGTCAACTGTACCTGAAAAAAGAAGTAAATAATTTTTAAAAATCCTTCTTGAAGTTTCACTGTGGGGAGTTATCAGGATTAAAAAAAAACACTACTCTCAGCTGGGTAATTTTTTGAAAAATTTTTTTTATTGTTAGTTTCAGGTGTACAGAACAATGCAATAGTTATCCTTTTCACCCTCACATTGTAACAACCCCCCTCCCCCCATGTATTGCCCTCCCACCCCCGATACCATGCTTATCTATTACAGTTAGCTGGGTAATTTTTATTACTCCCAGCTGAGTACAGTTTCTGCTAGTGTGGTGGCCATGAGAATCCATCCCTCAGCATCTAGCGTGGGTATTAGTTGGCTGATAGCCCTGGTTGCTGCCCTTCCTGGAACCCACCCGTGGGGTGGTGCTAAGACTACTCCTAGGAGTGACTAAGCATGGGAGGAGCAATAGTCAAAGCCCATTCCTCCTCTGGTGATGGCTGAGGCTCAAGGACCCCCACTGGCCTGGCCCAAACTTGGCTGGACTGACTGAGGCCTGAACCTTCCTACCCAGCCCTGTTTGGCCCTCCTCCTTCCCTTGTGTCTGGATTTGATAATAAATACCAAAATATCAATGGAAGTCATTGATGACTTTGTCATAGATGATTCTTGACCACTTGTCCACTAAAGTCTGATTGAAATGGGTTCAGGAGAAACTAGGAGAAAAACTGGTGATAATAAGGAGAAAGGTTTTTTTTCAATGTCTGTTTTGTTTAATATCAATCAAGCCATGTCAGTTTCCTTTTGTTACTATTTGCTTGTTATATATTTTTCCATCCTTCTCATTTTAACCTTCTGTGTACTTAGGTATGAGATGTATCTCTTGTAAGTAGAATGTAGCTGGGTCCAAAATATCCAATCTGAAAATGTCTTTTAATTTGTAAACCTCTCTGGTTTTTTATTCTGATGCCTAGTATATTGCATTAATGTCTACCACCTTAATAGTTATTATTTCTGTTCTGTATTTTTTGCTTTTTCTTTAAAAAATTGGAAATAGAGAAAAATAGATGAAAATGTATACAGAGAGTTAAAAAACAATAAACTTGTACCCATCCACTAAGCCAAGAGTTTGAAGATTGCTCTACCTCAGAAGTCCCATGTGT